GGAAAAGCTCTTTGTATGTTCATTGGCAATCATAGGCTTAGATCTCTTCGTCCCTCTCTTTGATTGATAGAGAATCTCATCTGCGATGTCAACCCACTGTATTTGAAATAAATTGTCTTTAAAATCCACTTCTGGGAATGTGTCTTTCAGGGAAATGTAAACACGGTAATCAGTGCAGAACATGTATATTGTCAATATCACCAGCAATTACGATATGATCAGGCTTGGTATCTCAAACCCCCATTCACCTAGTGGGGAGAATCATACAGCACTCCAACCTTTTATCACTTTAGTCAACTTGTCAAGAGGTTCACGCCAGGGTAGGTCTTTCCACCTGGGCCACTGGCAATGGTTATAGACGGACACGTTAACCCCTTCCAGTCACATATCCATGGGATATATGTTGTACTGCATGTGTAGCTGCCTCTCTCATCCACCACTACACAGTTGTACTGGATATACTGGCAGTTGTACTGGATATACTGGCAGCTGTACTGGATATACTGGCAGTTGTACTGGATATACTGGCAGTTGCACTGGATATACTGGTAGCTGTACTGGATTATACTGGCAGTTGTATTGGATTATACTGGCAGTTGTACTGGATATACTGGCAGTTGTACTGGATATACTGGCAGTTGTAGGATATACTGGCAGTTGTACTGGATATACTGGCAGTTGTACTGGATTATACTGGCAGTTGTACTGGATTATACTGGCAGTTGTACTGGATATACTGGCAGTTGTACTGGATATACTGGCAGTTGTACTGGATTATACTGGTAGCTGTACTGGATATACTGGCAGTTGTACTGGATATACTGGCAGTTGTACTGGATATACTGGCAGTTGTAGGACATACTGGCACTTGTACTGGATACACCTGCAGTAGTACTGGATATACTGACAGCTGTACTGGATATACTGGCAGTTGTACTGGATATACTGGCAGTTGTACTGGATTAAACTGGCAGTTGTAGGATATACTGGCAGTTGTACTGGATTATACTGGCAGTTGTAGGATATACTGGCAGTTGTACTAGATATACTGGCAGTTGTACTGGATATACTGGCAGTTGTACTGGATTATACTGGCAGTTGTACTGGATTATACTGGCAGTTGTACTGGATATACTGGCAGTTGTACTGGATATACTGGCAGTTGTACTGGATACACCTGCAGTAGTACTGGATATACTAGCAGCTGTTCTGGATATCAAGGTTGGTAATATATGTCCGTATCTTCACGCCCAATATTTGATGATGGCACAGCCTTGATATATGTTACACTCACACTGCAGCTGTGACAGTCACTGTTACTGTTAGTTCCAGCATGGGAAACATTCCCCAAAGATGTCGCCAAAGTGTCTATTATATCCAATCGTTTTAAAGAGCTCAATACTGAGGCAGACTTGTACAGGCCTCTGAAAATATATATTTTGGGTAGAAACAAGCAACGACATTACAACTGTAAAGCAGCCACAGCTCGGAACATTCAAATGAAACCAGTGTAAAATCTCGACTTGCTTCATTAGAGCTATAGAAGAACACTAGGTGCTGGGGAGAAGGGACATACTATGGCTGATGGACTGAGAAACAGGATCATTACTGAGGCAACTAACATGTGATGGGGACTTCAGCTGAAACAGTTTTGAAAGAGACCTCAATACTGAGGTATTAATCAAGGTTTTGTGAAAAGGCTTATCACTGTAGCAGGTAATTGAGAGCCCAATGTGTATCGATATGCGGATCTCTTCTTGCTGTTGATCTGAAGCTGGTTTATAAAGAGACCTCAATACTGAGGTATTAATCAAGGTTTTGTGAAAAGGCTTATCACTGTAGCAGGTAATTGAGAGCCCAATGTGTATCGCTAAGAGGATCTCTTCTTGCTGTTGATCTGAAGCTGGTTTATGAAGAGACCTCAATACTGAGGTATTAATCAAGGTTTTGTGAAAAGACTTATCACTGTGGCAGGTAACTGAGAGCCCAATGTGTATCAATAAGTGGATTTCTTCTTGCTGTTGACAGGGATGAGAATGAAGTTTTGAGAAAAACTCTGAAAACTAGCCGAAGCTCCTGATATTTAGGCATTTTAGACCTTTAAAACTGACTCAGAAATGACAATATCATGCAGACAGCGACCATCAAAAAACTTTAAATCTGCTGAAGCACATTCATACAATTGTCAACGGATTTAGACAATTCACAAAAATGACCCTTAGCCTTATGAAATTCCCGGAATTCCACGGAAAATTCTCATCTCTGTGTTGATCTGAAGCTGGTTTATGAAAAGACCTCAATACTGAGGTATTAATCAAGGTTTTGTGAAAAGACTTATCACTGTGGCAGGTAATTGAGAACCCAATGTGTATCGCTAAGAGGATCTCTTCTTGCTGTTGATCTGAAGCTGGTTTATGAAGAGACCTCAATACTGAGGTATTAATCAAGGTTTTGTGAAAAGACTTATCACTGTGGCAGGTAACTGAGAGCCCAATGTGTATCAATAAGTGGATTTCTTCTTGCTGTTGACAGGGATGAGAATGAAGTTTTGAGAAAAACTCTGAAAACTAGCCGAAGCTCCTGATATTTAGGCATTTTAGACCTTTAAAACTGACTCAGAAATGACAATATCATGCAGACAGCAACCATCAAAAAACTTTAAATCTGCTGAAGCACATTCATACAATTGTCAACGGATTTAGACAATTCACAAAAATGACCCTTAGCCTTATGAAATTCCCGGAATTCCACGGAAAATTCTCATCTCTGTGTTGATCTGAAGCTGGTTTATGAAAAGACCTCAATACTGAGGTATTAATCACGGTTTTGTGAAAAGACTTATCGCTGTGGCAGGTAATTGAGAACCCAATGTGTATCGCTAAGAGGATCTCTTCTTGCTGTTGATCTGAAGCTGGTTTATGAAGAGACCTCAACACTGAGGTATTAATCAAGGTTTTGTGAAAAGACTTATCACTGTGGCAGGTAACTGAGAGCCTAATGTGTATTGATATGAGGATCTCTTCTTGCTGTTGATCTGAAGCTGCTTTATGAAAAGACCTCAATACTGAAGTATCAATCAAGGTTTTGTGAAAAGGCTCATCACTGTGGCAGGTAACTGAGAGCCCAATGTGTATCAATAAGTGGATTTCTTCTTGCTGTTGACAGGGATGAGAATGAAGTTTTGAGAAAAACTCTGAAAACTAGCCGAAGCTCCTGATATTTAGGCATTTTAGACCTTTAAAACTGACTCAGAAATGACAATATCATGCAGACAGCGACCATCAAAAAACTTTAAATCTGCTGAAGCACATTCATACAATTGTCAACGGATTTAGACAATTCACAAAAATGACCCTTAGCCTTATGAAATTCCCGGAATTCCACGGAAAATTCTCATCTCTGTGTTGATCTGAAGCTGGTTTATGAAAAGACCTCAATACTGAGGTATTAATCAAGGTTTTGTGAAAAGACTTATCACTGTGGCAGGTAATTGAGAACCCAATGTGTATCGCTAAGAGGATCTCTTCTTGCTGTTGATCTGAAGCTGGTTTATGAAGAGACCTCAATACTGAGGTATTAATCAAGGTTTTGTGAAAAGACTTATCACTGTGGCAGGTAACTGAGAGCCCAATGCGTATCAATAAGTGGATTTCTTCTTGCTGTTGACAGGGATGAGAATGAAGTTTTGAGAAAAACTCTGAAAACTAGCCGAAGCTCCTGATATTTAGGCATTTTAGACCTTTAAAACTGACTCAGAAATGACAATATCATGCAGACAGCAACCATCAAAAAACTTTAAATCTGCTGAAGCACATTCATACAATTGTCAACGGATTTAGACAATTCACAAAAATGACCCTTAGCCTTATGAAATTCCCGGAATTCCACGGAAAATTCTCATCTCTGTGTTGATCTGAAGCTGGTTTATGAAAAGACCTCAATACTGAGGTATTAATCACGGTTTTGTGAAAAGACTTATCGCTGTGGCAGGTAATTGAGAACCCAATGTGTATCGCTAAGAGGATCTCTTCTTGCTGTTGATCTGAAGCTGGTTTATGAAGAGACCTCAACACTGAGGTATTAATCAAGGTTTTGTGAAAAGACTTATCACTGTGGCAGGTAACTGAGAGCCTAATGTGTATTGATATGAGGATCTCTTCTTGCTGTTGATCTGAAGCTGCTTTATGAAAAGACCTCAATACTGAAGTATCAATCAAGGTTTTGTGAAAAGGCTCATCACTGTGGCAGGTAAATGAGAGTCCAATGTGTATCGATATGCCGATCTCTTCTTGGTGTTGATCTGAAGCTGGTCCCTGTGTGTCAGGCAGGTCTGCCTAGTTGTCAGCTATCTGTAGGATGGGGTGTAGTGGTGACACTACCTGAACAGTACTCTGGTCATGTTTGCAGGGCACTAGATGTGGGAGGAGGGCCCTGACACACAACCTTGATGTCATACTCCCACATAGATACGACGAAAATCAAAAACCAGGATAGTGTTCGGCACTTGAGTCCTGACTGTGCTTGGGCTTCCATCCTGCCCCACAATGAACCACATTTAGCACATGTGCTGTCTCTTTGGGATCCTTGGGACTTTGTGTTAAAAACATCCCTCCGGTCACCCAGCAGTGAGTGGGTACCTGGGAGGATGAGATGGTAATAACTTACAGCGCCTCAGTGGAGCCAGGGATTTGAACCCAGTCACTAGAGCCTGGAACGACTGATTTAGTGACTACAGGACCACCCGACTCAAGTATGGAGTCCAACAACAGATATATTACAGTTACAAAATGTTCTTTAGACAAAGCCCAAACCATAGTACATCAGTCTGGCATACATAAAAGCATGGAACAAAAGGACTTCAACAGAGATGAAAGCCGATAAATTGAGCAGCAAACAGGATTTCATTTACAACAAAAAAGAAATGAGGCGACATATCCTGTTTACAACTTTGTCTGTCGTGACAGTGGGTTATAAAACTTTTACAAGATGTAATATACCCCTTTGTCATGGACAGAACAGTCAGGATGATTCACTAGTTGTTATATCATCTTATCAGCAGAAATGAAACCATCCATTGGTGCTCACTGTGTCATCACAATCTCATACAAGCTCTCTCAACAAAATTTCTCACTAAAATGCCATTGTGGGCAGCCATGCGAGCATATCACAGTTAACACATCATTGCTTGTCTTACAAAGCAGAAATCCACTTCAAGCAAAGAGAATCACTCCCTTTTAGAAATGCGAACAAAGCAGAAAGTTTTTAAGAGGAGAGGTGGAGCAGATAACTTCCTGTATCTCCTGCTCCCTGAACACCCAATCACTGTTGTTTTGCTCCAGTATGTCCATTGCTTCATCAGGATCAAGCTCAACCTTCCGGATCTCCCGATCGATGGGTGATGCAGGCCTTGCTACCTTGGATTCGGAAGTCTACTCTGGGAATTTGGGAATCAACAGTGTTGTATGCGGGACACAAATAAAGTCTTATTTGGTAAGTAGGCTCAATAATTGCAGATACAATTACGTATATATCAATAATGATTTTGATTTTGAGATTGTAGTAATCTTTTGAGTTTCAGGGTCAAGGAAATGAGATGGTGTTCATAATTTAATTCAGGGTGGAGGAAATGAGATGGTCTTTAGGATTCAGGGTGGAGGAAATGAAATGGTCTTCGGGGATTCAGGGTGGAGGAAATGAGATGGTCTTTAGGATTCAGGGTGAAGGAAATGAAATGGTCTTCGGGATTCAGGGGTGAGGAAATAAGATAGTCTTTGCGTTTCAGGGCGGAAAGGAGGCCTAATGCTGTCTAATGGTGTATTTGTATTCGATTTTTTATTTGATTTGATTTTTCTAAGACAGATATTAGTTAAACTATGCACATGGATCAGCAACAGTGGAGAGTTAGAATGCTGTGCAGCATTTTGTGTTAGACAAATTACTCCTCCAAACCATCACGAATGGAGTGTACCCCTGTTCCACACTGGAGTGTTCCCCTGTTCTACACTGGAGTGTTCCCCTGTTCCACACTGCAGTGTTCCCCTGTTCCACACTGCAGTGTTCCCCTGTTCCACACTGCAGTGTTCCCCTGTTCCACACTGGAGTGTTCCCCTGTTCCACACTGGAGTGTTCCCCTGTTCCACACTGCAGTGTTCCCCTGTTCCACACTGGAGTGTTCCCCTGTTCTACACTGCAGTGTTCCCCTGTTCCACACTGGAGTGTCCCCCTGTTCCACACTGGAGTGTCCCCCTGTTCCACACTGGAGTGTTCCACACTGTACCCATGTGGGGAATCGAATCCAGGTCTTTGGTTGTGACAAGAGAACATTTTGCCCACTCCACTAACCCACTACCTCTGTACTTATGGTATGCTACATGAAAACATTTCTGGAAGAAACGACAGGTCTCCAAATTCCCTCTGTAACCAATAGCAGTAAAAATTCTCCATATTTCTCTTGAAACCATGTTCTCCAATTTCCTGTTTGAGTCCAATATTATCAACAGCATCTTGACGATGCATGCTGATTGGTGAAGGCTAACTTACACCTGATACACAGGTACATGGCCAATCTCATTAATGATTAAACCTAACCAATCAAACATGGCCCTCTGCACTGGACGAGCAATCACGCAAAGCCTCAACAAATGGATTGTCACGAGACATCCTGGGCTTTAGGCGGTATGTCAACACAAATGTTTCAGCCTTTCAGTGAGTGAGTGAGTGAGTTTAGTTTTACGCCGCGCTTCAGCAATATTCCAGCTATATGGCGGCGGTCTGTAAATAATCGAGTCTGGACCAGACAATCCAGTGATCAACAGCATGAGCATCGATCTGCCCAATTGGGAACCGATGACATTTGTCAACCAAGTCAGCGAAACTGACCACCCGATCCCGTTAGTCGCCTCTTACGACAAGATAGTCGCCTTGTTATGGCAAGCACATGGGTTGCTGAAGACCTATTCTACCCCGGATCTTCACGGGTCTTCAGCCTTTCAGCGTTTCATATGCATTCAACAGTCATTTTAATTTCTTTTATGCTTACATCATGTTTAAAATTCAATCTATTTCTTCCTGTTATCCTTACATAATGTTTCAAATTCAATTTAATATTTATCCTTACATAATGGTTAATTTAATTAATACTTCATTCTAACCTTACATAATGTTTCAAATTTAATACTTTCACTCCTTCTACCTTATCAATATAACAGACAGATATTGCGCTATATGGTTCTATATAATGCTGAAATGTTTCAAGATATGTGTGTATGTCACATGTTGCCACTTTTGATCAATACAGTGAATTCACTCTTCAGCCTCATTTAGTAATGAAAGTACAGCAGTGAAAGCAGTGAAAGCAGTCTTGCTACACAAAGTGTCCAGCTGTGAGGTGAGGTGAAATGGGATTTAACGTCATACTTAAGAATATTTCATTCATGTGACAATGTGTGTGTGTGGCTGTTTGTATTAGCCTGTTATAGTGCTAGCTCACGGAGATGCCATGCTGCAGTTAAGCATGAATACCCCACTCAGACACATTATACTGACTCAAAGCCGACCAGTCCTTGTTGTACCCATTAATTATTATTATTATTATTGTGTCCAGTTGTGTCAGATCTACACGCAACACAGCTGCTGCTCACTCACGCTGTCTACGTAGCTACACAGAGCACAGAGTCTACAGTAGTAATAGACTAGAGGATGAAGGGTGAAGATTTGGGCTGTCTCCAGATGTGGGATGACACATAGTGAGGACCAGAATCCCTTTTAACAATGCATCACGTAATCTCTCTCATATAGATGCTGCTTATAGCTCATCTGTTCACAATAGTGAGTGAGTGAGTTTAGTTTTACGCTGCACTCAGCAATATTCCAGCTATATGGCGACAGTCTGTAAATAATCGAGTCTGGACCAGACAATCCAGTGATCAACAGCATGAGCATCGATCTGCGCAATTGGGAACCGATGACATGTGTCAACCAAGCCAGCGAGCCTGACCAACCGATGCCGTTTGTTGCCTCTTACGACAAGCATGGGTTACTGAAGGTTCATTCTAACCCGGACCTTCACGGGTCCTGTTCACAATAAGAGTGAGTGAGTGAGTGAGTGAGTGAGTGAGTGAGTGAGTGGATCAAAAACCAGATCTTTGATTAAAAGATCAAACACTTTAACCTCTACCCAACCAACCACTGATGACAATAAGTTGTACCCAACCAACCACTGACGTCTTACCTGTAAGGTCAGTTAATTAATGGGTGGGCTGGGCTAAATGATATTTTATTTGACTCGGTCTTCAGACCAGTGGGACATGTTTTAGACTGCCATCGCTCTGCATTAATTGGATTCTAGCAAGTCACATTTGATGAGCACTGAAAATTGACAATTTCTCAACAAATGTTTTGTCCTTCATCCAAACAGCTGAATCGCTGCAGACAATGGTGTTATCAAATTCTGCTTGTAGCCTCTTCCAACAAGGGCACTAAGAGGGAAAGTTAAATGGAGAGAATAGTGGTTTACAGCGCCAATTAACAAAGATGTTGTGTAACTATCAGCACAAACGGGGGCCTACCCTGGTGGAGTGCATAGCTCCAGGCTATATCCAGGTGGGAGACACTTTGTAACACATATGACCACAATAAACATTACTTTCATGTGTTATATATCTCGTATGTCATGCTGCCATATTCCACACGGCAACATGACATAAAAACGTGAATAATGCTCATAGAACTAGCATTTTAATACTCCCTTGGTTTAACATCAGTACAAATACGTTCTGTCTTCAACAAAGGTGGTTAGAATATATTCAAGGTAGGTGTTTCTTCAATACAATTTTTTATTTTCTAGTTGACAATACATAAGGTGAGGTGAAATGGGGTTTAATGTCGTACTTGAGAATATTTTGCTCATATGACGACGTGCATGCATGTGTATGTCTGGCTGCTTGTACTAGCCCAGACTTAAGCTGGTTTTACAGTGCTAGCTCACGGAGATACCATGTCGCAGTTAAGCATGAATACCCACTCAGATACAGTATACTGACTCTAAGCTGACCAGTCCTTGTTGTACCCATTTATGCCGAGCGCCAGGCAGGGAACAACAAGTACCATATTTTAACGTCTTATTTGTTTGTTTGCTGTCTTATATTGCCACACTCAGAATATTTCAGCCACAAAATGGCAGTCATCGCTAAAGAGCACTTGTCTTACACTGACAAATTTTGGGGAAAATAATGCAATTGTATTTCTAATCCTTCTTAACATCAAAGCCAACTATCACTGCCAGTTCAGTTGTCACGGACAACAGGTTATTGTTAGAGTCTCATCCATCATCAACAATGGCCAAATACTACTCTGGCGCCGGAACCTGAAATATTTAAAGGTCATCAATCCATCGGAAGCTATTCTCCCACTACTTAGCCATCATTAGGAACAGCAGACAGAGGGTGACACATGAACTGGTAATTGTGGTCAAGTTGGCCTTTGCCATCAACCAGCTGAACGATCTGTCATAACATCAACATTGACTACCACAGATGTTGAAACTGTGCTCGAAGCATCCAGTCAGGCACTGGGAGAGAATTGGGAACTGTTGTTGTTATATTGATCACGGTGGTGGCCACGTCTTGTATATCGCCACAAGTCATCACAACAGGACGTACCTGCACTTTACAGGTAATATTAGTGCTTCAGAGTTGTCATCACAGGTAAAAGTGAGTGGGTTTGGCGTTAGATGCTTTTAGCAATATTCAAACACTGTGACGGGATATGAAGGAAGGATGTTATTCAATTTTCTCATCTGGGGATCAAAGCAAATTCCAAGGCTTGGCAATCGAACCCTTTAATCTACTGACCGTACAGGTAAGAAATAAGCTGATGATTATACAGGTAGTGTCATCTCATCATGCTGGCTGTTACTAAGTCATACCTGAACTAATGTGTCCTAATTATGCTGCCGATTCAGCCAGGTTATAAGTGACTAACAGGGACAGAGGAAAAATATTCTGATTGTTACTACAGGTAAAACATGAACCAAATATTACACAGGTAGGCTTATCTAATGATGGGGGTTGATACTATAGATAATTCATACCTGAACTAATGTGTCCTAATTATGCTGCCAATTCAGCCAGGTAATAAGTGACTAACAGGGACAGAGGAAAAATATTCTGATCGTTACTACAGGTAAAACATGAACCAAATATTACACAGGTAGGCTCATCTAATGATGGGGGTTGTTACTACAGATAATTCATACCTGGACTAACACCTAATTATCCTATCTGTTAGGTCAGGGAAGAAGTAATACAGGTAAAAGTAGGTATTACTCCCAGTGATCGTTACTACAGGTAAGACTCCATGACTATGCACCTGTAACATCTGAATTAATTACAGTCATGGTGGCCATGGCAGCTTCTATATCATACAACATTCTTCCGTACAGATTTAGCTGCTGTCTTAGACATTCCGACAGGTATGATTTACCTGTTGCC